CTAAAGTTTTTCCTTTTCTTGATAATCAAATCAACTTTTGTGGTTTATGGTTGAAAAGCTTTTCATTAATCATGTCAACAAGAGTGGGGTTGTCTTTGATTCAATGAAGTTAAGGTAACTATGCCTTTCTAGGCTTCCATCTGCTCAAGAATATAAGCAACCACTGGGTTTCAAGCACCCTTTATCATGCTATTCTCTTAGAGTTATTTGTATAGAATTTGATCTTTAGTGACTAAAGTGATATGTCAAATATTTTGATGACTAGGATAATCAGTGGATTGTTCATTGGAGGAGGTAGGGAAGGAAGGGGAGTCTTATTAAAAGACTGAAATAGCCCTTCTTTTTCCATAATATTATTAAATATTATTAGAATTACTATCTAAAATACCCAATATTGGAGACTACAATTAAGGATTACACGTTTAGCAATTGTAGAGAACAATATTTAGTTCAAAAACCCTAGTTGGTACCACTAGGATTGAACTTGCAATTTTGTCTTCCTTTCTTCACCATCTTGAACCACATTCAAGAGGGGCTTTTGGGGATCCTTCTACAATATGAATCCACCATTAACTGAGGTGATTTAGCTGACCAAACACTTCTGAAATATCAATGGATCGAGCTGTTCAATAACCAAGGTTGTGTCATCTTCAGTTTGACTGAATCACTAGAAAGGGAAGCTTGATTTCTTGGGCATGAACTCCACAACAGTTCTAATCTTTCTTGTGGTTTTGGATCTAATATATGATCTAGCTCAAATGCCAAAATCAATCTTGAGGAGAAAAGCAAGTTTTCTCCCATGCAATTTTTCTGTTCTCCTAAACAAACTTTTGGGTTCTTGAACTTCAGTGTGAAATTTTTTTAACAACAAAATTCACTTATGTAATTGTCACAACTTTTGCACACAATGAAGTTCCATTAAGACAATAAGCTGAGAAGGATTCTTTTACATAAGATACAAACATAGAAGGAGGTGTTAGAAGTAGTAGCATGCTAACACACTAGCACTGTAGACCCATCAAAGAACAAAGATTGGGAGAAAAATTTGTAATCACTTTATGATGATTAAGTGAGAAAGAGGTATTAAGGGCTGATCAGGGAGATTTACAGAAGGCCTCTATGGTAAACCAAGACAAGACTCAGGAGGGTTCAGAAGGAGTAAAAGATGTTTTTAATTTAATAAAAGCAATTTTAGTTTCCGTGGTGAGGAGACACGTATGTTTAGTTGCACATCTTCATAACAAGTAGCAAAGGTGAAAGGTATAATGGATGGCCCCATCTTCAGACTATGCCTATGATAACTTGACAACTACTGAAATGTATGTTTTATCGCTTTAGTTTCATGAAGATGTCAATTCAAAACAAAGTGGGTTTAGTTATGAGAGTATTTCTCCCCAAAAGGAGGGTAACTCAATGGTGAATATCTTTAGAGACTGTTTCAACTAGGGTGGAGAAAGGTAGCAGCAATCTTGGTGGGGAAATAGAGGGCCTAAGGGCCTAAGGAAGTCAACTCTGTTTCCTTTACCCAAGTTTTTGATGGAAAGCTGGGGCTCCAGGACCTAAAGAGGAAAAGGGATAGAAGTGTTTTGCAAGGAATAGAAAGATGGTGTTCTTGCTTTATTTTGGTGAACCTAAAGAAGACCAAAGGTTCATTCAATGGGCAAACCAACATTTTTCTTCAACATCAGTTGAAGTAAGGTCTCATGGGGTTGATCCTTATAGTGAGTTCAAGTGGGGTGAAGGTCAAACGCAGAAATCAAAACTGTATTAGAAGTAGTAGAACACTAGCACACTAGCACTCCAAACGTGTCAAAGAACAAAGATTAGGAGAACAAGTTGGAATCGCTTTCTGATGATCAAGTGAGAATGATGTGTTAAGGGCTGAGGGAGAAGAACAAGTTGGAATCACTTTCTAATGATCAAGTTGGATCTTCTTCTCCCCTTGGGTGTTGGAAAGGATTTTTGTTTCAATTTGGTATTGTCTATATAAGTTGGATTGTTGGTAGACCTTCTCGATGTACTCAAACATCTCCTTTGTAGTCTTGAGACCCCTCATCAGAATAGTTATGTCAGTTTCTATCAAACCAAGGATCCATGAAGCTATTCTCACATTGTCTATCTTCCACTGCTTCAGCCCTTTATTATCAAACTCATCAGGCTTGGCAACTGAAACATCCACATAGCCCTAGAGTCCTTGGCCTTCAACATAAAATTGGAAGTGAAACTTCCATAGAGCATAATTACTCCCATATTGAATTTGAGAAACCATAAATCCCTTTTGTCTGAAGCCATTTTAACAGGAAAAACAACAATAAATAGTTTTGCAGCAAGTAAATTTGATCGAACTAGTCTCAAAACTATCACTACAAATCTGATATAACTAAGAGAAATCAGATTTAGGAAGTACAAGCCTCCAAGAAGTTGTGGAAAGATTGACAATCTAGAAAAGAAAAGTACAGGGTCGACTCCAAGAAGATTAAGCCAAAAACCCTACCAACAAGGAACCAAACCTCGAAAAGGAGATATGGGAAGAAAGAGTAGGTCTGGAAGACACCAGATCTAAGGTTTCAAGGCAATCCAATGGAGCAGAAGAGAGAATTGAATCAAACACCAACCAAGTACTCGTTTTTCAATAGAAAACAACCAAGAAAAGGATTGATTGAAACAATCTTAGAAATCCGCCAAATAAATCTCAGAAAATGAAGAGAAGGGATGACTTCTGATGGATTTCAATCAAAGTAAAGAACAAGAGCTTCCAACAAATCTGGAATCGAACCTGCTATGATACCATGATAGAGACAGTTGAAACTGCACAGAAAAGTTGAAACGGAAGTGCACATGCCCAAAAAGTTGTATTGTATATTATTTGAATACAAGAGGAGGAAAAAGGACAAAACTACCCCCACTAAAACAAATAAGAAAGAATTGTATATACAAAAGAGAAATAAAAGATATTGCACATAAGGCATGATAATATGATACCCCCAACCAAGTCAGCCCATAGTATTCCTACAGTTGAAAACCTAGACGAGAGATGGAGAGGGAGGAGGCAAGGTATCGTTGATTTTTGGAAATATTCAAAAACAAACATGATGCGAAAATAAATGTAATAAAGAAGAAGAAGAAGCAAAAAGTTAATCGCTGGTTCTACTAGTTTGTTGCCTCAACCACTGCTTTCCGGTTTCCTATTGATTTCCAATGCCACCCATTATGGTTCTAGAACTATTCACAATAAGAAGAAGAAGATAAAAAAATGTAATTGTTCCCGTACGTGAATCGAAGGGTCCATAGGATGCGAGTTCTTGTTAAGAAACTSCTCCTACCTGAATGATCAAAGTTCTTCTTTTCTCTTTTTGGGTAAACTCCAAAACCCCTAAGCTATTGGGGGGCATGTCACCTCAATACTTAAAACTAAGCTTTCAAAAGTTTTAAAGACCCACCCCCAAACTTTCACAAGCTAAGCACCGATTAAAGGGAACTGAAAAATTCAAGGTATGTTTAAGTCAATTCATGAAAACTTTGGGTATGTTTAAGCCTTTTATCTAAAATGACTAATGGATAAAAAGGATAATTTGGGCATTTAAAAAATTATAATAGATTATGTGATGCCCATGGCAGTGTTCTCTATCATTCTAAAGAAACACGAACGGCGTCATTTATTTGAGTGATTTGTAAAAGTTTGTGGGGGTATTTGCAACATTTAAAAGTTATGTAGTGAGGTGACACGTCCCCCATAGTTCGGGGGGTGTTTTAAGTTTACTCTTTTTTTTTTCTTTTTTATATTTTGGGTAAACTCAATATTAGTACCTTATACTTTGGGGCTGATTTAGTTTTAGTATCTAAGCTTCTAAAACATGCCACTGTAGTATTTAAATTCTTGAAAATTGCCAATTTAATCCCCATCATTAACAATCTATTAGTTATTTGTATCACATAAAGACATGAGTGATTTAAAAGTTATAAAAATGTCAAAAATAGCCTTCAAAAGAAGATATTGTTCACAACCCCAAACCCCCCAGGAATCCATCTTCTATCTCCACTCTATTATTCTCTCTCTTCCCCTTTCTTCTTCTCTCTACTTTATGTTGTGAACTTCCTTAGTCTTCTTCACATCTCTTTCTCTCTCCTTTTTTTGTTTCTCCCTCTTTTCCATTGCAATAGGGACTACATGGAGTAGAGAACAAGCTCTATTGGACCTATTATTCTAAACCAACTTCTATTGGGTGTTTGTGGCATTGTGAAAATAGGAATGTTTTTGGGTTCATTGAGAGCTTAAAGGGATGATGAGGCTTTTGATGAACTATTAGAATCTCTTTCGCAACAAGATGGGGGTTGTTCCGATTCTAGTGGGAAAGTTTACACTGTTGTGGTGGTGAATAGGGACACAAAGAGACTAGGATTGTGTTGGGAAAGCATCAACATGCTTGGATTGTTGGTAAAGTTTTTAAAGATGGATGCAGTTTCAATCATTGTCGGGTTGGTTCGGGGAGGTATAATTAGAAGTTAAAAGGTAATTATAAATTTCATTTTGAAATAACTATGTTTATATTAGTTCTGGGCTCGAAGGGAGGTATTTTGGTTTCTTTTTTGTTATTGTCTTTTGAAAGATTTGGACATTTCGTTGGTTGATAAAGAAAATTAGATTACACCCAAAAAGACATTTTTGTCCTTTCATATGCCACTTAACGTTGATTAACAATTTTAGATTAAACTGATTGTTTTTGGGAGTTTAGACATTATAGTGGTACGTTTTTTAAGTTCAGGTACTTGTGTCAAAGTACAGGGTTCTAATCTCGAATTTATCCCTTCATTTTCGATTTTAACTTTTAATCCCAAATAAATTCTGTCACTCTTCTAAATGGGCCTAGCCCAAGCCGAAGAGTTCACAAAGGCGCCCAACTGGGCGCGCCCCACTGCACTATACAACATATCTCAACAGTGAATTCGGATCACCGAGAGATGCAAGTACGGGAGATGTTCGCAATGCACGCTGATGTGATCTCCTAGCCGAAACCCAAATAGGTCACTCATCCTTCTCATCTGATCGATTTGTTCCCAGAATCCCAGTTTCCCTGTTACTGCTACTCATCGTCGATCAAATATCCACTCTGTAATTGATCTCTGTTTTACGTGTTTTCAGCAGTTGAAACTTGAAAGCTCGCTCAAGTAAGACTCTGCTTTCTCCTTCTTCTGGCTTTAAGGTGCATGAGATTTGAATTGCGAAGGATCCCGTTCTAACACTCTTGGAAACAGAAATTTGAATTGACCCAAATAATGTAGCAAAGCCTGCAGTCGGTAATTCTTGGGTTCTGTCTTGATTGTCTGAATTCCTATGCCTGTTTGTTTCATGGTCGATCTGCTTTCTTCGGTGTTTTTTGGGTGGATTCCTCTTGAATTGGTACGAAGGTCTGCTAAGAATTCAGATTTTTGATCGGTTTGTGTTGAGTGAATCTATCGGTATTTATGGGTTGATATTGGTAGGAAGGTCGTCGGTCTAGTTTGCCTTCTTTGTTTGGAATACCATATTGTCATTCTGGGATTTAAGCGGTTGGATTTGGGAATTCCGGTCGAAGGTTGAACTGATATTTTGATCCTTAAAAGAACGCATAGGATCGTTTATCGTTTGGTGATCGTGTTCTTGTTGTACTTCCTTTAATCCGTCGATTTTGGATTTTCTTTTTATTTCCCTGTATTTCTTTTTTTTCATAATGAATGATTTGTGCAGCATCGGGTCGGTGATTATTATAGGAGGGATAACAAACAGAAAGGATGAGTAGAAAACAAGTAATAAGGCAGAGGTATGATAAAATTGTTCTGCAAACATACTGAGGTAGCTTCCATTGAAGATTCTGATAAGTAGGCAGAATCTACTACTCTTTTCAGTTGTGAGCTTAACTTTCACACCCATGTCAGCACCAAATGATGATAATGCATCTGCTCATTCTCAGGTAACTTTCTTCTTGTCCACTCGAGAATACAAATCTCATTCAAGATAAGCTGACATACTTTTTTCTTTCTTCTGATTTTTATGCTTTTTTAATATTTTGGGTCGGAGTTTGCATATGAGAATTGGGATTTGGAGTGATTGCCTCCATGTCCTGGTTTTAATTTGATAAATACTTAGGTCAGAACAATAGGACGGGAATGAAACTCTGCTCACTGGCTGCTTAAACACATGAAAAACATGCAGATGAAGAGCCTCCGTTCTCTAAGTCTCATTGAGGACATTTTTTGAAATAAAACAACGAAAAAGAAGAGGAAATGAGAAGAAATTTCTAGTCATACACTTATAACAATCCATTCTTTAGATTGTTTTGTCACTTCCTGGCCACGTAGTGGGGGGGGGGGGATGGATTACTTCAATCCTCTCATTCTGAATTTAGTATTTTTTTTCCTGTTTAAATTCTTCATTAAGCAGACCCAATTATGAAATTGAATATAGTGTAATTATTATGAATTATATGTGCATATATCTCTTTACTTTTTTCATTCTTTTGTATAACCTTTTGTGGGTAGATAGTAAGAGTCTTATTCAATATTGATATACAACTAATTACTCAGTTGCTTCCTAAGGTTCCATTTGGGAAGAGTGCAAATGCCGGTTCAGTGTATGTATGCACTCTGGTTCAGTTTTATCAGGTGTTTGACAAGAATGCATTTTTGTATTAAAAATGAAGGCAAACACAGATTCCAAGACATGTTTGTGTTCAAACATGAGTGTAAAATTTGCATATGTATTTGCACTCAAAGTTGGTCAATGTAAAAAAGGTGGTCAATGTAAATATGTCTTGGTATTCATGTTTGTACCTATCACAACTAAAAATCATTCGACAAGAGTACAAAATTATCATTACAAAACTAAACCAACTTTGCATTTTTATGAAGCAGACATATTTGCATCTGTACCCAACATTTTGTATTTGTATTCTTCTCAAACGGAACCCAAACAATTACTCACTCTCTATAAGATACATCTAGATGCATGGTCTTACAGAAGAAGATATTTCTGAATTCATCTTCATCTTCTTCGTTCTGTTTTGTGATGCAGTTGTCATCTCATTTTTTTGCGGGCCTTCTTGACTCCATAATTGTAGATGTTGCATCTGAGTGCCACCGGATAGCTAGGCTAGGTCTTGATCGTAATTTAGAGGAAGAGGAGGAGGAATTGAGGCTGTCAGCACAGGCTAGGGTGAGGGTAGCTGATCCTAGTAATAGTGGTGAAGTAAACAATAAGCATGTGGTTGACATATTTGGACAAACTCATCCTGCTGTTGCCAATGAAATATTTGAATGCATGAACTGTGGGCGGTCGATCATGGCTGGAAGGTTTGCTCCACATTTGGAGAAGTGCATGGGGAAGGTTGGTTTTTAAATATCTTGTTCTTTACTGATCTTGTTGTGTTGGTGACCAAATAAAATATGATGTACTGTTCAATAATAGGTCAAACTAATGAAGTTGTTGAAAACCACTTGCATCAAATATAAAGTCCCTTCAATAAATAAACTTTTGTTTCTCCTTTTCCTTTTTGTTTCTTTACTGATAGTTAGAAAATCGGCCATTTATAAGATTGTTAGGGTCTCACAGAATGAACGAACCAAGCACAATTGATTGTAGAAGACATGATTTTTCCTTTTTCTGGAGTGTTTTGAACTCAGTTCATTATATGTTGATCATATTTTTTTTTCCAGGGTCGAAAGGCTCGCCTCAAGTCAACAAGAAGTAGCAAAACTCCACAGAACCGGTATTCACGTGGCAGCCCAGTTTCTACCTACTATACCTACTCCAATTCCGCTAGTGTAAACCGGATTGTAAATGGAACACCTGGTCCTACAGGTGAGGAGTATGCTGATGGCACCTTTGAGGAGACATGATATTCTAAGCAAATGGGCTTCTCTGGGCTTCTATGAATAAAGATCGACAGAATTACTTGGTCATGAGGGAGCACCAACTTCATGTTTTATGATGATTTATGCTATGTGCTTTTAGGAAATGGGGAGGTAACCATATTGATGTGATGTTCTTTGATCACTTCATGTCTGAGTATTGGAGATCCATAACCTATCTCCCTATTACCTTCAATCTGATTGATAGCATGACATCTCTTTTTGTCAACTTTGGCATTGAAATGTGCATGAATAATAATTCACTAATTCAAGGAATCAATTATATGCATATTATGGTTGTCAATGCAGGCTTTTCATCTCTAGAAGATAAGATTTTGTATATTTACTGTATAGGTTAGTTGATTAAGTATTTTGTAATGAGTAACAAGTTAGCACCTGATTTACACACGACATCTGAGGTGCCTTTTCTACCAGCTTAAATGGATAGCCACATGGTGATAATTTCTACTGTCCATTAGTATGCTGAGTATATATAATGGGATTCCGGACCATTGGACTCCAGAGGATCATATTTTCTGTAAACTTGTGTAAGATTTTTCATTCCTTCTCTCTTAGTAAAACCAAACCATCCTGGGCTTTTGAGATTTAATTCTCTAATTTATGTTTCTGTTTTTCTAAATCAAGTTTAGATTAAAAGACATTGGCTATTCTATTGGATTACAATATGACCCAAATCAAATCCATCAGTTTTACTCTCCTGTTTGTATATGGGGCCTTTTGTACTTATCTTTTCATACTTCTAATGAAACACGGGTTACTTTACTCTTGCACGGAGGGTCATTATCCAATGTTGGTTCAAGTTATCTGGGTTGCTAGTAGGAATGGACTGAATATAGACCTAACATTTGGCATTTTTTGCACTAGGTGGATGCTCTCACATGTGGATTTGTTTTGTAATGCTTGTCAGCTGAGATTTTACCATTGCACCAAGCAATGGCCCCTAGTTTGTTCTCTCTCTCTCTCTCTCTCTCTCTCTCTCTCTCTCTCTCKATATATATATATATATATATATATATATATATATTATATCTTAAAAAAAAGAAGATAAAGGAAAAGAAAAAGTGGAGTAGAGTTAGGTTATTGAAAGTTATGGTAGGGGGACTGGGGGAGTATCTTTCTTCTGGTCGTTCTCCTTGAATATATCTTTCTCGAAATTTATGATTTTGGCCGTAACCACAACTTAGGGTTTAGGAGAGATTTCAGAAATGTAGAAAGCGAGGAAATGATTCTGTCCATCTCTCTCTCTCTCTCTCTCTCAAGATGTAATATAATAGGGAGAATGATCCCTCTTCCTCCCTCGTAAGAAATTCTAGAAATTTGCTTTTAAAGTGGATCTTCGTTTCTATATTTTGTAATATTTTTTTTGAAGTTATATATTATTAATTAAATTTACTTGTTACCTACCCCATCAAACAAAAAGAAAAGAAAAATATGAGAAAAAGAAAATAAAAGAAAGAAGACGAACCTTTTGTGCTGTGGTGCACTGGTGGCTCCTATGTGGAGTGAAATGCTAAAATGGAAATGTGATTGATGATGCATGTCCCCTATGTATACTTGTGCCTGGCTGATGATTAATTGGTGAGCCCTTATAGCAAGTGAAACAAATGCAACAATATTGAGAAGAATCCTTATAGCAAGTGATTTAGCTAGCTACCATCAACATAATTCCCAGTGTACAAAGTACAAACATTGTAGCCTTTTAGAGAGATTCCAGTGGGCTCAACCATGAGAGAGTGGATCACTGTGAGTAGATCTTCGTTTTTTTGAAGATAAATAAATAAGAAATTTTATTGCTAAAAGGAAAAACAGTACAACATAACTAGGTGACAAGATGTCACCCCCTCCGGATTACAGCAATGAAAAGCCACAAAACAAAAAGAAACACCATTTCAGAAACAAGACAAATCTCAGCACTCCTATCAAGAATTCAGAGAAAACATGGACTCATGGTCATGTTTATGGTAAATTACATGCTACTAAAATAGTTCATATTTTTTTTTGAACTTGTAACATTATATACCTGCAAAAGATGTTGCATTTGTTACTAAGCAATGCTTGATATGAAAATTGACATTCATATTGTACATGTCTGACATGGACTCTGAAGCATGTCTGACATGGACACGTTTCCCATTTAGGAGAATCCATGCAAAACTGCTCCTCATTTCCCCAAATCATGGAGATTAGATATGGACAGGGGTGTTCCATGCAATATGCTTATATCATGTTCTTATTATCTAGTTTCTTAAGCTAAAGGCCATTTCTCAATATTCATGTCTTGCTAAATTTAATTAAATTTCTATTTATAGAGGGTTTTATAGTATAATTTGTTTAAAACATTACAAATTTGAAAAGTGTTAATGCTATAAAGTACACCTTGAAGCATCCATGCGTTATCTGCTAAGTACTGTATCCAACTCCAGTATGCTTTGCATGTGTAGTCATATGGACTGATGGACATAATAGGTCAGAAGGTTTTCAGGAACAGTGTTGATGAGTTTATTCTAATATACCTTACATGACAGTACATCTGGAGAGTAGATTCATCAAGTGTAGAACAGGACCTCAGTACCAGGAGATTATTATTTTGGTAGTAAATAAAAAAAAATTATTAAAATTAAGAAAGAGTACTTTAAGTTTTACAACAAAAGGTGATGAGAGATCACCTTTACTCCAAATGAATCTCTTGAGACATCTCTGAATTCTGATAGAATTAGTACCCAATCCAGTAGCTTTGAGCCAATCCTGGAACAGATCTTCATCCCATTTCAAACTTTTTTTCCATACTTCCCAACAAACAGCAAAAGGAATGCATCTCCAGAAGATTTTAGTGTCTTTACTTCCTTGTAATGTAGGCCAGCAAGCAAAAAATTATCTTCACGACCCTGGAGTCCAGATGGCTTCAATGAAGAGTTGAAAGAAAAAACCCCATATAAAGTATGAAAGTTTACATCCATAACATAGGTGAAATACATTCTCTTCCATTAACTTGCAAAAAGCACATCTGCCAGCTAGTTGGAAACCTTTTCTCTTGATGTGATTTTGCATAAGAGTTCTATCCAAAATATCATCCAATAAAAGACCTTCATTCTTGGAGGAACCAGGTTTCCCCAAGCACCTTAAATCTCCGTCCTTTTAGCCTGATTTCTTGACATTGCCTTGTAGAATGATTTCACTGTGGATCTGCCGTTCCTGCACACTTTCCACCATCTCTCATCAGGTTTGTCAATATTAATTTCTAATTCTTGTAACTTGGACAGCAGTTGAATGCATTCTTCCACCTCTCCAGTAGCGGTCTTCTAAATTTTGGAGCCCAAACTACTAAACCCTGTCTTAATTCATAACATTGTTTTTTTTTTTTGAAAAGGTAAGGTAATATATTAAACTGCAAAAACCTAAAACTGAAACTGCAGGCATTTACATAGAAAGAAACTATCCAAAAAAGAGAGTTCTTTGTCAAAAAAAGGACTTGTATGTCTAGATTTGAAAAGCGAGCAATTAACCAGCCATGAACACAGCATGCCCATGTTGACGCCCTTCAAATACTCTGGTTCCTTTTTGCGCCAAACTTCTCAGAACACAGCAGCAGGAAAGGTGTTCCAAACCACTCTTCCATCCTTATATCCTTTAACCACCAAGCGAACAGAAAATGATATTGTGATATTTTCACTCAGTTTGTAAAGTCTAGGACACATCTCACAAAGTTTTTCCACTCCTAACCAATCATCCTCTCAAAATCAAATGGTATTTCCCATTCCTACTTGCCAACATGTGGATTAACCATTAAAGAGTGAAACTTCATAATACCCTTCCAAACCCCAACTCCATAAGAACTCCACCCAAAATTGATCACCCCAAGCTTATGCTCCACTGTCCTCTGAAGAGATTCTCTCTCAATGCCAAATCTCCATCCCCACATTCCCAGTAGGGCAGGCAATTTTGATCCCAACCAATTAAACCCACCCATTTGAATAGAAGGTCAATATGGGTTGAGTGATCCATTAGGGTCAAGGGAAAAGGGTCAGGATGGGTTGGGTCAAGGATACCCATTGGCTTGTGAGGACATTGGTTGAGTTAGGGTTCGAACTGTTTGAAGTTCTCGTCTCCTCTAGTTGCCTATACTCAGTTTCAAATTTTCTTTTCTTCATATCCATCATCAAGCAACCTCGAATGCCAAAATCACATCCGCCACTGAATCAGGCTTCAGGTATTTCTTGCCATTGTTTATCACTTTCTCACCACTGATCTTCAAAGTTCACGCCTGCTGTTTCTTGTCATTGTTGTTTCTTGTCGCATCTGTCAATCTTCATATCCACATCTTCATCGTTTCTGAGAAAGTTGGGTTTTCAACTAGTTTTCGAGTTTCAACTCTCAAAAATGAGTTGGGTTTCAATGAGATGAAGATTTTTCCCCAAATGTCTACATGCTTTCCAACTCTTTTAATTTAATGTGATTTCAAATGCAACAAGCATTTGTTTTCATTGAGTTAGGGTTCCTGGAAAAGCCCTGTTTTGGACTAGAACAGGGTATCAACATTTGTTTCTGGACATGGCAATAAACACTAATTTGTTGAATTCCCTTGTTTATCTCCAAAAGTGCATGGAGAAAAAGCCAAGCAACTCTGTGGAATTGTAGAAGAGAAGAGTACAGTAAGCCCAGAGTGTGTAGATGGAAATGGTTGTTTTCTTTAAGCTCTAACAGTAGATAAAGCGGAGGTCGAGCTTCATTTGTTAACGTTGTTATTTTCGTTGTAATTTTAGTAGTTTTTATTATTCAATACTGTAATTAACCAATTAATCGCTGCAACTTCAGAGAATTTGTAATACAAGTTGTTGATTGCTGTTTATTTACTATGTTCTTGTTGCTTCCTTGAATTTTTAATCTGAATTGAAGGAGGGTGAGCTGGATCTGATGCTTAGTTTTAGATTTCTAATTAGTGTGAGGCTTATGTTTTAGCCATCATAGTTTGTTTTTAGATTTTAAGATCATGGTGGAACCCTCATCTTTTTTTCCCTTTTGGTCATCGGTTGTCCATTCTCCCATATAAACTTTCTTATCATAGGAAGTAGAAACATAGGATGCAAATGGATGGGATATTGGGAGTTAATCCAATTCAAATTTAAATCTGAGTTTATGTTAGATTCTGAGATCTGTTTTTACAAATTATCTGCATTT